AACCAAATGAGATGTTTCCCCTTGGAAATACTCTTGACCCCATAACAGGTATATACACTTGAATTTTTGGTTACAGGTATCAAAATGAAACCCACCAAACTGGGCAAACATATAAATGAGGGAGAGGAATCCAACAACTAAATAGAGAGTCATTGCGCAGTAGCATTTGCATAATAAAAAAGCCACTGAATAGATAAGGCAATGATTCTTGAAATAAAAGGGAGAGGTAGATGAGGGACTACTGAACACAACCCGTAATGTGCATAGCCACCAAACTGTGCTGAAGAATAAAAAGTTCACCACAATAACCACCAATCGAGGAAAGAGAACCACCACAGAGAACGCAGAGTGCACTAAATCACTAAATTGAGTGGAAGTAAAGAGAGGAGAGGGAAAAGAATGTAAGGTTCATTGGAACAACCACTCTCAACCAATAAGGGGCAAGTAGAAACTATGCATAGCCACAAGAGCCACTGATCCAAAGGTGCGAATAAGTGAGGACAGAAGAAACGTGAGAGGGGGAGCCACGGGGCCGAGAGAGGTAGAAGAAACGCGAAAGAGGGAGCTGGGGGCCGCAGAGTAAAATGCACGCGAAGAAATGCGAGTTGCAGGGTCGAACCCGCAGCCGCGTTTTACATAATTTTTTTTAAGAATGTTGTCGCACCGCTGTTTTCAAATCACCAAAGTCGCATTTTCAAAATGCGTCGTGCAAAAAATGCTGCCCCAAACGGGCCCGTTATTTTACATCATCTTATTTATTTTGATTTGTAAAAACATTTCTATATAATGTATGATATTAATTACATATCTCAAAGTAATCACAAAAAATCAAGTGTCCATCTAACATGTACATTGTATAAAATGTTCGATGTATGGTGTTCCACTCAACTCGACATCATTTTTGACATTTAATAAACCTTTTTTATTTATCCTATGTGAGCAAAAAAACCACACAATTTTAAAAAAAATATATATATATTTTTTTTTTTATGTAGTTCAAGTGGACCAATTATTAGTTGGTATGCCCTATGTGTGGTAGACAACTACATTGCTTACCTTGGACCAAGGGTTTAATGTTTTGGATAAACAAGTAGCAACAATTAAAACTTCAAATACAAATACTAGCTATGCCACTTACATTGGTTCAATACAACAAACTTGTCTTAATGATTAAATAATAACAAGATTTGTTGTTATTAATGTTGAAAAAGAAAAGATTATGAAGGTAAGCGTTTGTTCACTTATAATTGGCACAAAATTAACTTACTTACGATGGGGAAGTTCCATGAAAGATTCTAAAACAAAGCTTTAATAACAATTGCTTTCAATGTTTGATCTCAGTTTTGTTTGTTTACAGCATAAGATTGATTTTCAATATATCATAAGATTAAATTTTAGTTTAACATGCGCACATATACTCTTGTGTACGCATAAACATATTAATTAAAATTCAAATATAAATAAAGTAAGAGTTTATATGTACTCACACAGAAGTGTGCACTATATATACTTGATTTGCTCAAATTTGGAAGGTACATCAAAGGCGAAAAATTGGTAAGAAATACTTGACGATAGAAATAATAGCTCTAATTTTACTTGTTATAAGATAGAAACATCAAGGGCTTAACATGGGCTACATACATGTTAGCCTTTCATTAATTCAAAGGCATAAGCAAATTAGGGCAGCCATCTTATTTATGTACTCTACTGTATTTTATTTTTGATATAGAATTATTTTTTTAAAAAAAATTCATGCATATCTCAACATATTGGCACACAAGTAAATGAGTGAGGATAAAGCATTGTTTGGGGTATTTACTTTATTTTTGTTTCGTGATAACAAAAGAATATAGAAAAAAAATGTACATCGGAAATGAATCAGCACGAAACTCAAGAAAATTCAATTTACTTCAAAAGCAAAGTATGGTCAAGGATGGCTCATCAAATGAAATAGGAACCATGTCACCAGAAGACCAAAGGATCCTGTTGACCGGCAACAATTTATTCAGAATAAGACTCGGGGCCAAGCGAACAAAGGCCAACCGAGCCAAATATCACAACCTATGCAAACGAGAGGAGTCACTCCAACCTTTGCCCAAGTATTATCAGACGCCTCACAGAAATCTCTAAGGCTCTTTAGCAAGCCCTAAGTCTATAACATCGAACATTGATCAAGCCCTCTGAACGAATCTCTTGTCAAAGGGGTAAGCTACCTATCAAATTATGGTGATTCACCCTCTTCCTAATAGCTTACCTCTGCCCTAGCAGCATGAGTTTCTCGTCCAAGGATCAAAAGTCGAGAGTTTGAACAAGATTGTGGACCAACTGACTAAGGCTAACTGAAGGTCAACTCAGCCAACCAAATGTCATCAAACGGCTGGAAGTCAGCACAACCAATCAAAGCTCAGCTTGGCCTAGCAAAGGGTTGTCAGTTGACAAAAGAATTGGGAGCTAGCTAAGGGCCATTTAGAAGACTAAATGGACTCCAGAAGACCAAAGGACCACTAGGGCTACCGATCGCCCAACTCAACATAGTCGACCGAATGCATTTCGTGAACCCAGAGTTCTAAAACTCTCGTCGACCGAACGACAGAATAGTCGAACCGTAGGCTACTCTATTATCTATTATATTACCAAAATATCCTGTAATACCACCATGAAAGTACAATTTGCCACTTTATACCTCTAAAACTAAAACTATGGGATCATTTTTACAGTACGAGACCAATCAGTCACCCTTAAAAGAACTAGTTTCTTACTGTGTCATTTTCTCTCATTCTTTCTTACTCTCTCTCTTGTTTTATGCTCTATTCCTTGCGTGTAATTCATATAACATATTTGGATGCAACAATCTCAGAGATGAATTGAAAAACGTTTTGAGCAGTTAAGACATTATAACAAGTCTAGTTTAGTTGTCTTAAACTTCAATTTATTTTGAACCGCTTTCATGTCTGAAAAATCTCTATGTTTAGTTGTCGCTCTTGGTATATAGTCTCCTCAAGATGATGGTGCCTATGTTCTCAAAATTTTTTGTATTATGTTTTTATTGTTTTCAAATATTTTGATTACAAGTCATAAAACAATGATAGATTCAAGCCTAGGTTCTCCAAATCAACCATTTAGTAGGAAGCATCTCGCTTAGGATCTGACCACATGCGTCAGCCTGAATGAAAAAAATAATTGGACCTATCAAAATTTTTTATAAAAATTTTTACTTTTAGGAAAATAAAATAGAAATTTTGGGGGGCAAATCATGAGCTTTTAAAAACTTGTTATAGAAAAAAATTTATTTTGAAATTTTGTTCAAAGTTCATGAAGTCAAGTTAATGAGTTTGTTTGTCAGGAAACAGATAAAAATGAGAATATTTTCTTAGATCTCAAATTCATGTAGATTAAAAGGGAGTTTTCCTTCCTAGTTTTGGAAATATTTTACTTTCTATATTTTACATTTTTCTAGATAATAATAAAACGGATTAGAAGTTGATGAGCTTACTAAGCAAAAAATAGATCAAATAAAATTTTAATTTTTTGCTCATTTTCTTCAAGGTTAGAAGTGTGTATTACTTTGGAGAGTTTGAAAGTCATTTGCTTTTTCTGTTTTTTATTATTATTATTACTATTATTATTATTATTATTATTATACAGTTTTGAGTCATAACATTAACAAAATAATAAAAAATGATGAATTAGTATATATATATATATATATATA